GTTTGCTAAGTTCACAAGTATTAATTTCTACATTTGGACAATTTTCTTTATCCGAATGAGGAAAATGAATATATTCTATTGTAACACTATGAATCATAGAAGTTTGTTATTATTCAGTATTATTTTTGTAATTTATATTTATTTATTATTTCTGTTTGGATTTGTTAATTGTGAGCTAGTATTATTAAAAGATGAAATTTCAGTAAACAATTTTTTTTCAACACCAACCAAGTTTCTTGTTTAATGGCATGCTTTAATAGTTTGTTTGTGTCACACACTATCTTGATTTACACTAAGAAGTATCGTCTGCAGATTTTTCAATATAACTTTCAAAATCTTTGAACTCGTTACTCATACTATTCATTACAATTACGTATATATATATATATAATATCTCAATAATACAAAGGAAAAGAAATATTTGAATTGTGATAAGACATTTACGTTTCGATTTCAACGTTCGCTCTCCAATGGTGTACTTTAATCTTTGACGTTTATACTTAGCACACAATCACGGATAAAGATAAAAATAGGAACGAAATTATTTAGTTTATACAACATAAAAGGACTGCATTATAAATTATAAGTCAAGTACCATCTACTTCATTTATTCTAAGTAAAACACATCAAAATACTAGATAGTATCCGAGTTTCACTCGACTACGAAATGCGATGCGAAGCAGGAAATCAAACGGTGAAAAAAAACCACCAAAAGAATATTCATGATAAATAACATAATTTATTGATGACAGATTTTAATACAATGGTTCTTTCAACACTAATGTTAATAATTATTTGTATGTTACCTCTTTATAAGACGGATTCGGTTAATTTATATGAACAACAAATAGGTAATTTATAAATTGTTTTACTTAATCATATAGATATATATATATACAAATTCTATTTATATTATATGAAAGCAAGATACTCTCCAGTCAGATTTATTGTTTAATTGTTCAGGATTTAAAACTGACGATGATATTCTACAATCATTTCCATTTAAAGTTGAACTTAATCCAATCATACGAAGTCCTAAAATAACATATGGGTTATTAGATGAAAATAATAACATTTATTTTTGAAATATTTTTAATGAAACATATTTTCCCTCTCTTCTGGTTTTTGTTTCAATCATTTAAAACAACTTGATGTGTGACGAACAAATTTTAAGAAGTGCAATGATATAATGCCAGCAGAAATTGAATATCTTGCGTCCACACTAATCGATCTAGGTATTTATGATAGTATCATTCCTGATTTGCCATATGAAATAAGTAAATTAGAAAAATTACAAATAATCAAGTTTTCGAATACTGGCCTGACGATTCTTCCAGAATTTATTGCTAATCTTTCATCATTACAATTTTTGTCTTTACCAAATAACATGTTGACGTCATTACCAACAACTATTCTTAATAATCAGTTATTACGAGAAATTGAATTAGGTAATAATGTACAGTTTAATTCCATACAATCACTCAATGGTCATCCATCTGTAAGATATATAGAAGCAAATAATTGTTCAATTGAAAATCTTCCTGTTAATTTATCTCAACTAATTGATTTATATATATATCGAACAATAAACTAAAGAATCTTAGAAATATTCAAACGTTAACTTTTGCAACAAATGCTAGAAAATATTTTGATTTTGGTCAGAACCATATTCAATCTATTACACCACAAATTCGGTATGCTAAGAATCTTTATTTTCTCAATTTTGATGGAAATCAATTGAATAATATGCCATCGAGTATTCTTTATATGAATACACTTTGTTATTTATATATTCAAAACAATCATTTTGGTAATACTGAGTTGGTAACAATTATTTCTAAGTTTAAAACTACAAATACATCTCTAAAAATATTTTACAAGGATCAAATAATTTCGTGAATAAAGATCTGATCAATAAACTGACGTTATGACCTTGCTAGTGTGATATATTTTTTTATACTGTTTATTTTTGTTTTTAACAGTAATATCCGTTGAAAAACTAAATAGATCATATGAATAATACATTTATCAAAGAATGCATTGATATCCTTAATTAGTATATTTAACCATTATCTTTGTTTCTGTCGTCTGAAATTTGAAAAAGATATAAATGTTCAACCAAAGAACAATATTACACAAACAACTTTAAAAAATAGATGTTTTCGATTGTGTGACAAAACTCTATCTATTAGAATTAAATCAAATCGAACAGTTTTTTATTTGCAAGTTCAGAATATATTATCTACACTGAATATTGATCAAATATAATATGAAATATTCACTCGTATAGAAAATAAATACGATCCTGGAGAATGACGTATCCTCTTTTTGTAATCTAAAGAGTTCATTATCTATTATCAGCTGCACTGTCAGTTGTAAAACAGTTGTTAGAGAAAAGTGGCACCTAACTTTTGCTTTTGCTTTTCGTTTTGAATTATCTCAAAATTTAAAAAAGTCAAAATCGTGTTTTTGTGTGACGCTTCCTGTAAACGAACTAAACGTCCTGTTGAAAATCGGAAAACGAATCGTTACAGTTCGATCTCGATATATTGATCATGCGTTTAAACGAGTATTTTCTGATGTTCTATTGCTGAGATAATCGTGGTACAAAATGACCACTTTGAATCTGTACATCGAGAAAGAAATAAAAAAGCAAGAAAACTCGCCAAAGACTACATAAATGCTTCTGCTTCGCATCACATTAAAAACGTGAAACGTGAGTAAATATGTCCGACTAATTAGCAATATTAATTGAACATGCACCATTTTCATTGCATCAATAAATTATGTAAGTTCATTGAAGTTTGTCTATTGTCATGAATCTGATGAAAACTAGAGATGCTCTGCAGTTTATTACGATCTCTTCATCAAACATAAGATATGTTATCTCATTCTTGTTATATGATAAATAATACATCGTACTTCTTTGCATAGGATGAAAATAATATCATTCGAAAACATCTTAAATGATAAGAAGAATAAAATAACAGATTATTATGACTAAAAGTAAAGAATTAAACACAGCAAATGAAACATCCCAAATAAAAGGTAATATATATTTTCATAGTAGAAATCATACTAGTTTATTTATGAATAGCAGCTCGACTTCTATGCTCATATCGTTTATTACTTGCCTTTTTGGCATTTCTGGGCTTTTTTCTATGTTATGCCCAACGAAATGGCTTTGCGTATGTATAAATTTATATTTTAATCAAATTGTTGAACTAGTCTATTGCAGTGTAGCTATTGTTTGTATGGTTGATCCAGATGTGGATAATTTAGGATCAGCGTATACCAATAATTCTCTATTGACAAGACAAAATATTCCAATCTCATGTCATAAGCATACGACACAAACAACTCGATCGGTATAAAACTATTTTAAATATGTATATGTATTATATATCTAATAGCCAGGTCAAGTTCTTAATTGGCCAAAAGAGACTCGTGGCATTTTTCTTGGTTCATTCTATTGGGGTTATGCATTAACACAAATAGTTTCATCAATTGCTGTTAATTATTTTGGTCCAAAACGTTTTCTTGCATTGCTTATCTTTATGTCATCCTTGGCTACACTACTATTACCAGTTATTTCCACGTGGCGTTCACCATTTATCATATTATTACGTATTATTGCTGGTGCAGCTCAAGTATAAATGAATACATTAGAATTTGAATTTTATATTATTTGTATTTATCATAGGGTGGTCTTTGGCCAACTATTTTTCGTTTTTGGTCAACATGGGCACCAGCGTCAGAAAGAACAACACTTCTCTCGTTTCAAACTGCTGGTAAATTATAAATAGGCCTTATTTGAATTGTTTTTTTAAATTTTACATTAAGGACTTTCAATGGGTACAATTGTTTCTTTGATAATCGGTGGTCTTTTTTGTACATTTTCATTATATGATGCTATTCCATTCATTTTTCGACATGGTTGGGCATATTTCTTTTATCTTCTCGGTAAAAAAAAATATGCAATTGTTACATAAAATCTATCAAAAATCTATTCTTAAATAGGTGGTCTTGGTATTATCTGGTCAGTTGTATGGCTTATTTTTGCAAGTGACACACCCATGACAAATAAATATATACCACCGAAAGAAAAAGAATATATTCGAGCTTGTAAAGCCGTCGAAAAAATTCAAGATACAGATACTGTAAGAATAGAATTGATTGATATATTTATTTTATATTTTGTTAATATAAGAAAATACCCTGGAGTGCAATGTTTCGATCTCAAGCTGTTTGGTGTGTTATTCTAGCAATGTTTTTCTGTGACTTTGGCCTTTATGGTTTGAAAAAAGTATCTTTTAAAGTCATTTCTTTTTTGTTTTATTAGCTATTTGGGCAGTTGTTCCAGAATATATGAATGAAGTTTTATTATTTAGCATTGAAGAAAATGGTTTTCTTTCAGCATTGCCACATATTGCAAGTTTTATAGTCGTTATGACAACAGGTCGTTTAGCAGATTATCTCATAGAAAAGAAATATTTAAAACGTGTTAATGCAAGAAAACTATTTCATGGTATTGGCACTTTAGGACCAGCTGTTTGTCTTCTATTTATATCGTTTCTTGACTGTGAACGTCGTTATCTAGCAGTTATGTTACTTATTATTGGAGTAGCATTGAGGTAAGATATTACAAAAGATTATCATCAAGAGTTCTTCTTGCTTTTAGTGGTTTTATGATGTCAGGTGGAGATGTTGTTAATATTAGCGATTTTAGTGGTGTTCATTCCGGAGTTGTTTGTGGTATTGGTAATACAGTTTGTATGAAAAGATTCTATTTTATTTATAAGAAAATAATTCTATATATTTTTCTTTAGCTAGCATTGCAGGATTCGGAGCTCCATATTTAACAAGTATTATAACAAAAGATGTTCGTATATAAACCTTAGATTTCGATTGAATATCTGATGTTATGATTATTGTTTAGAAAACTACTGCTCAATGGAAAATAGCATTTATGCTTTATGC